CTTGTTGTTAAACCTAGAATGAGATAATGGTGAAGCTGGGTCTCAGAGCATGAATCCACACACTGGCTTGTGTCTGTACTCAAAACCTGTCACAAAATAAAACACCCCTTATTTTTGGGCCTGATCAGATGACAATCAACTATTTTAGCAGTCAGTTTCTGACCATCTGTGCAGTATTTGCCACTCCAAGAATGCTCCCCTTCCCTGTAAAATGGCTGGCTGAAGCTCACTGAGAGAAGTCACACTCCTGCTCAGCCTCCCATCTGCCTCTGAGATGGAGATTTTATGTTCACATYGTGTGTGAACACTGTAACCTATTCATAGAATCATAGAATGGTTTGGGTTGGAARAGASTTTMAAGATTATCTAGTTCCAATCCCCATGCCCTTCCACTAGACCAGGATGTTCAGAGCCCCATCCAACCAGGCCTTGAACRCTTCCACAGGTGGAACTGTTCAACACAGTTCAATTTGGCCCAAGTCCAGAAATAAAGGATGTATTTCATCGGCATTAAAAARATCATCCATGGATTTAAACTTGTATGGGACAAATATGGGCAGAATAAGTCAAACATGGATTTTGAATGAGTTAAACCTGGGTTTTATCCTCACAAAAATATTGAGGAGACTAAAGGTACCTAGCTCTAGGGGAGAGAGTTGTTGATAGAATCTACAATTTAATTACTTCATTGTAAGGAAAGCTCTTTAGAGCAATACTTAATGTATTTTTAATGCAAATATGTGATAATTGATGTCAGACATTCAAATACCTTTGCTTTGTAAACACAGGCGTGGGGGGAGACCCACATGTATTTCTGGACCAGTTGCTACCTGAAAACTGACAATCCATAGGAATGCACAGGGAGTGCTCCTTGCACGTCTGGTTTTACATCAGTGCCCATGCTCTGTTCTCCAGCCATGGCAGCACAAGTCACACAGTTTATAAGGAGATTCAGGTGGGAACACATTCCGCCAATTTTTACCAAAACCCTGTCTGTGGTATGGCAAATCCATTGCCCCTGTAAGAAAACTTGTACAAGTCTGCAKGAGAAAGCACCCTGCCACACTATGTCTTTAGCAGCAAGTTTTGCTGCCAGAACTTTTGTGGGGTCATGGGCTGCTGAGATTTTTATGTCCCCAGAGCATGCATGTTTATCATGGCTTTTTTGAGATGCTGCATGTCCTCRCTGCAAGAGACTGTTGATAGCAGAAGGCCTTGCAGTTGCCAGGAGCATGCATACAGTGGCATTTTGCTACTGGCTATCTTGGCTGGTGTTATTCAGAGAGGAAATTTTACTTTGGCAGGAGAGGATTCATTTTGTTTGCTTGTATCAACTTTTGTTGGCTTATATCAGCAATTMATAGAAACTTGAGGCAACTAATGCCAGCTTCTGACAGCATTGCTCTGAGCAGGCCACAGCTAAGATTCATCCCAAGCAAGTACACCCTACCTACCCTGCTGGCAGATGCTCTGTTCTTGCCTGATGAACTGCTGTTGATACCTGAAATAAACAAGTTTATGACACAGCAGCAGAAAAGCAAACAGAGCTGTGTGGAAAAATACACGTTTTGAGGTGCTTTCTGTTTTACTTTCACAATGTTCCTATTTTTTCCCCTCTTCTATGCATTATTAGGATGTATTTATTTGTTACTAGGCTGCATAAATGGAGACATGTAAGTCAAGATCAAGTCTAAACCATTCTTTCTACAAAGAACTGAAGAACAATGATTCTTTGAAACTTAGGAGGATTTTTTTTCAGCTCCTTTAACTGAAAAAAGGAAATAAAAGCTTAAATCTGCATTAATTGGCAGTCGATTTTTAACCTGCCTACAGTGCAAAGCAACAGGTAAAACTTTAAATGAAGAAAACATCTTGTAGTGGTACTAAAATYCAGGGTGGATCTAGAGGAGACTTTTGGGAGACTGAGTCAAAAAATAAAGAATGCTATGCTAAAGTAAGTAATTGTCATAAAAYGAAATTTGAGAGCATACTCCTAAACAAGGATAACTGGTATATTGGTACTCCCTTCAGTCTGGTGCACTGTGCTCTCACTTCAAACACATTTTGTATTTGGACCTGGGCTGGCAGCTTTTCAAAGGAATCTCATACTTTCTTCCCTCCCCCTCCCTACTTTGCATAATAATTAGTATGTGAATATGCTTGTGATTTCTTCTTATTATTTTAATACAGTCACATTTTTAGAGACTTCAATAAAATTTGGAGGATAACCAAAGCAGTCCTTGCACCAAAACCCACGCAGTTTAAATGGAGTAGAAAACCAAAGCACAGCAAAGTACCATGGTGTCACCCCTTTTCTGTGCAGGGAGAAACAAGCAATCRTCCATCAAAAGAGATTCAGGAGCCACTAAGGCAGTGTCCTGTGCCTAGCAGCACACTCAACCAGTTGTTTCATATAATACGAGGTGAAAAACTCCAGTAGTAAAAACTGTCCTATGTACTCATTTTAGATTGAATTCCCCTGCCCAGGAGTTAGATACCAACTTATTCATCAAAGCACCAAGCTACAACCAGGTAATTCTGATTATTTTTGACATTCATATGTATCCAATCCCTTTCTTTAATAGTAAGTTCTTGACTCTCACACTGTCTCTACCAGTATAATCACAGCAGTCTTGTAAAGATGCATCCATGCAGGGACCTTCAAGCACCTGATAGTCTTCATGAGTTCAAGACTATGCAAGATGGATGACAAAGATGGTTTCTGGATGGGGGGACTAGGATTTTGCCCAGCATAGCAGCCTCTAAAGTCCGTGAAACTGATCACAAGATTCCTCAGCTCCAGCATCTCCTTGATTTACAATTACAAGCCTGAGTAGAAAAAACCAAGCAATCTGAAAGTCCTGAAGTTGCAAACAAATTTATGTTTTTAGTGAATAATGCAAAATAGAGAACATCACGAAAGAGATKGGTGTAAGTGAAATACATTTCCCAAGGCTAAGTGGGTATCGATGTGTTTCAAATCTGTAAACAGATTTGTGCATGTTGCTGGCTGAAGAGGGGTTGAACTCTAGGTTTTCTTGTTATGCCTCTTTTYTTGCTTTTGTCACTGCTCTGGCAAGGACAGCAGGAGACCAAAGCAGTGAGTTCTTCTCTACCCTCTGACCTGGGATTAATGACAGCCATATGAAGATACCTCCACCCTTCTGACTATCTGATAAAGGAGAAAAAAGATGGCCTATTATCACTCTCCTTTTGACTTCTTGGTATAGAAGGAYTCACAAAGGAAGCTAATTAAGGAAAAATAATGGGAAACCAGTTGGGTGAAGTGATTTAATTGTAAAGGGAGCAAACTTTTRCAGGGAATGTGTGACAGTGGTGCAAGGGCACATGGAAAATGGATGAAATACAAGAAGCCTTTCCTGCTGGCTTCAYGGTGAAGCAATGGAAAGAAATCACTCTCATGATTCAACCAAAATCCTAAATTCATATASCACAAGTACAGATTTACAGGAGCTTGTTCATGAAGACATGTCCTATGTTCTGTTTCACTGAAARTGAAAAGGAAGGCTGTACATTGSTAGTTAAGTTCAAGGTGTTRTGGGTGCAACAGCCAAACTTCAAGYATGGAATATTTTCTTGAATGACTTTCAGTGACATATTTATCACATTAATCACTGTATAATCTCTTTCCAGAAATACAGTACTTGATAGCTGCTTACAGCTTATAGGGGACTCTGTGTAAAGAACATACAGAATGTGCAGGAAAGAAGGGGCTAGACAGGCAAATCTCTSACAGTCTTTTCCTTGTGTAACATTTTTGTTGAAGCAGTTATTTTGCTACCCTCAATGGAACAGGACTCTTAAGGACTGTGGCAGTTTGRGAAACATAATGTTTCATCCCATCAGTATGCTCCCTGATCTGTATTGCAAAGGATGCAGCTGCAAAAACATACCATTCAGATTTTGTACTGAAAAATACAAGTGAAAAAAAATACAAATTAGTCACCTTAAATAAATAAGTGGAGGAGTCAGGCTGGCAGAAACAACCATTATAATAATGTCTTTCAAACCCCTCCTCAAGGTATATACCCATGAAGCTCATTAGTATAAGTCAGAGGCAGAAAGTTCATAAATATGGGAATACTGTTGAATATTAGAGGGAAATTCTTCAATGTCCTCCTGCTACAGCAGTTTTTTGGAAATGCACCAAGGGCTTTGATCCTAAAAACCCTTACCTCTAAGCACCTGGGTAGTCCCATTGACTTAAACAGAATAAAACGAGAGCTTTAATTCAAGTGTTTGCAGATTAAGACCCATGTTTGTATTTTAAGATCTTATCTACAGAAGAAATTGCACTCCTTTACCTAAGTGTTTTTATAAACACACCTTTATTTAAATCAGTGTAATGTTAGTTCTGAAGGCAGCCACCATCTGAGAAGCAGTGGCCCTGCCTCACTTCCCACTAGCATGAAGGCAGGAAAGGCTCAGATAGCTGGAAAACATCCGTGAACAACTTAGGCAAGAATAACCACGGTCTGAATTACTCAGAAGGATGCTGCCTCTGTGCAGCCAGCAGGAAAGGCTCCTAGTGGTTTTTTCCATTTTCTGTGTACCCTTGCATCACTATCACTATTCCCTATTAAAGTGCAATCATAGAATCATCAGAGAATCATGAAATGGCTTGGGTTGGAAGAGACCTTAAAGACTATTGCGTTCCAAGCCCCCTGCCATGGGCAAGGACACCTTCCACTGGATCACGTTGCTCAGAGCCCCATCCAACCTGGCCTTGAATATTTCCAGGGATGGGGCACCCACAACTTCTTTGGGCAGCTTGGTCCAATGCCGCATCGCCCTCACAGCCCCTCGCACCGCAGGTCTCACTCCTTTAGCAAACCCGGTGATGGGGGATGATGTTTTTCAGACCCTGGGGCAGTGCAGGGGGGCCGGTTCCACCTGGCCTCAGGGCGGGTAACGAGGCGCCAGGGCCGGGGGGCAGCGGCGGGGCCATGCCCGGCTCCTCCCACCCCCGCGGCGGCTCCTCCTTCCCCCGTCCGCAGCCGGCTGGGGTCGGGGCTGTGTCGGTGCTGTCTCCCGATCTGCACGGGGCAGGTGGGTGTTTGCTCTGCTCACCGCCTCATCCTCTCCTTTTCCTGCTCCTCCTTCCCCTCCTCCGCACAGTGACTCCCCGGGCTGCCGGCGCTGCTCCGCCGGGCTGGGGCGCTTTCTCGGCAGGTTCCGGCTCCGGAGGAGGGGCACCTGGCCGACAAAGCCGGCGGCGCGGCGGGGCTCAGTGCCGGCTCCTTGTCTTGCTTTAGAGCCGTGCAAGCGTGTTCTGCCTTTCGCCGCCCCTCACCGCTCCCGGAACAGGGCCTTCGCCCGCTGGGCCTCAGCCCAAGCTGCTGCCGGGCCTGCCCTGGGTCGGTYGGGAGCGCCTCGCTGTACGCACTGTRGGGCTGAGGGACACCAGCATGGGCGCWCTTCAGGAGCATGGACATTACATGGCGTGACAACAGAAAAGGATCTGGGGGTGCTTGTTCACAGCTGGCTGAACGTGAGCCAGCAGTGAGCCCAGGCGGCYAAGAAGGACAATGCCATCCTGGCCTGTGTCAGAAACAAGCGTGGCCAGCAGGACCAGGGYMGTGAYTGTCCCCTGGACTCGGCACTGGTKAGGCCACACATTAAGTGCTACATCCAGTTCTGGACCACTCAGTACAGGAAAGATATTGAGGTGCTGAAGCGTGTCCRGGGAAGGGCAGCMGAGCTGGTGAAGCGTCTGGAGCACAAGTGCCGTGAGGAGTGACTGAGGGAGCTGAGSGTGTTCAGCACTCCGGGCAAAGGAGGCTCAGGGGGACCTTATCGCTCTCTACAATTGCCTGAAAGGAGGTTGTAGTCAGGCAGGGGTCTATCTTTTTTACCAGATAACAAGTGACAGAGCAAGTGAACATAGTTTAAACTGTGTCAGGGGAGTTTTAATTTAGAATTTTGGAGGGATTTCCTCACTGAGTGATTACACTTGGAATGGGCTGCCCAGGGAGGTGGTGGAGTCACTGTCCCTGGAGGTTCTTAAGGAAAGATTGGATATGGTGTTTTGTGCCAGCATCTAGCTGATGTGGASGTGTTTGGTCAGAGATTGGACTCAAAGATCTCAGAGGTCTTTTCCAACCTAATTCATTTTGGGGTTCTGTGACATGAAATCCTTGCTTATCATCTTGTTCCTCTTAATTTAAAAACAAATATGGACTCAAAGTTGGCAGTCATGCAGTGCTTGGGCGATGTATGGTTGGTGTTAGACAAGACACTATGCTCTGCCATGATCCTGAAATGAGCAAAGTTGACAGCAGCCACTGACCAAAAAACTACATCACTGCAAATGGGTAAACGCCATAAATACCAGATTGAGTATTATGCTTTACAGCACACCTCACAGTGATGAGGTCCCGGTATGTAAAGCGGTGTAGTGCTTGAGAGTAAGAAACTTTGGTGAGAACTACCCATTAGATTTGTCTTGACAGGTCTGTATTCTTCATAGACTACCTTTTTCAATTTGATGCAAAAGGGAAAAGTGCATAAGAGAGTAATTTTAAAGAGCATATATAATTTTTATATATGTGAATATGAATATACATGCTTTATGGAAGTATTGAAATACATAAAATATATAAATATGTAAATATTATAGAAATCATATACAAAAATAAAAAAAAAATATAAAGAAAATGAAAAAAAAAAGTAAGTTCAGTGGGCTGAATCAGATTTGACTAAGGAAGCATGAGGTATGAAGGAGCCTTTTGAACATAGTGGTTGTATCTGCCAAGTTGTAAGTGTGCTGAGAGCAACAAAAGAACAAATTCAAGATAGAAGCGCAACAATTCTGTTTGCATATTAATTTGTTGCTTCCTTCAAACTACAGTATTTTGAGTGCTTGACTTTCCTAAGTGCWGCATGAGCACCAAAAGTGCCAGCTCRGACAGTGTTATACATGTAAGGCACCTAAAATCCTAATGTCTTGTTAAGTGAGCCTTAATTTTCAAAATTTTGCCTTTCTGTTGTTTTCACTCTATTCAAAATTAGATCAGTTTTTATTGTTTCTGGAGATAGTTCTCTAGAACTGTTGTAGGAATTTTATAATCTGTTGATTAAAGTGGAGTGTGTGAGTGTTTCTTCTTACAAAGCAATACTTGGTGTGGCTGTAGAAGAGACTCCCTGTGTGGGAATGGAATAACTACTTATATTTTCATCTATCTGCTATGTATCTCTCTATTTTAGCTTGCAAAAATTAATAAGATTTAAGTAAGGGTGACAAAAGTTGCCTYGATTCTGTTCTGGTTGATTTTCTGCAAGGATGAAAGCTTTTTATTAAGAGTTTCTCATGCTTACCTACTGTCAGTTCTTAAAATCACCTTCCAGTCTTGTCTGCTGCTCCCTCTGTTAGATTATTATTTTTAATAAAAGGTCAAACCCTTATTTCCACAAAGAWACCCCACAAAATCTGCTATGTGCATGAGAGTTCTTATGTCTCRTTTCCTTGTAAATTTTGTCTTACTTCCTTAGAAAAATCCACCTCGTCTTGGATAGCATCTATCTGTTGTCCTTTGCAATCAGTTTTATTTCACCCAAACTTCTGTCAGTTGAAGTCTGTGCAGATAAACTTGGATCAAAACCACCGCAGCTTTAGAGATTCATACAAAGCCTTTGTCTTACCTGATCTTGTTTCTTAGTGTTTAAAATATATATAATTCTTTGAACAGCAAAACGGTAAGATACTGAATCAKATAAAAACAGATTGCAAATCTGGGCTGGGGAAGAACAACCTGGCATTGACCCCTGTTGGGAGACATCTGTTAGGARAAGCTCATATAAATTCGTATTTGTTTTATAACACGGTTTTGCAAATGCCTGCGTGTCTTTAATGCTGATTTGAGAAAGGGAGCAACTTAGAATAYCTCATTGTTGACATAATTGCACAAACTCATAATGCACATGGGATTCTTTTATCTATTCCTGCTATATTGTATAAAACTTTCTTGTTTTAAGATTGAAAACTTTGCCTTGTCATTTCTTCCTTTCTTTCTGATTGTGGGAGGATGAAGATGAAGGATGGCAGTACATCTAAGAGGTAGCAGCTGCAGGGGTGAAATATTTTGCCTAAAGAAGTACTTTGTGGGTAGAAATGTACGAAATGATTACAATCTTGAAGCTCTACAGTTCTTTCTGTTCTGTCTCAACAGGAAATATTATCTGTCAAAAACTGCRTTGCAGTAATCTTTCACTTTTTTGTTTTCAAATGTCTGCAGTAATCTCAAAGTAGTGAAATAAATGTAAGTTCTTCCTCCAGTTGACCCCAAGTCACTCACATTTTCACTGCAATGGCAATAGTGAATTTTTAGCTTGGATTGGTAATCTCTTCAATGCCAGTTACTTGATTAAGTCACTATTTTTGACAGAATCTGTGAAGAATGCTTTGCTCTTTTTCATTTCAGTTTTACAATACCAGAAAAAAAATGGTATGTCAGCTTGAGAAAAATGTTAACCTTGTTAGCCTGTGGTTTTAAAAAAATGATAATTTGGGTACCTTGATCTTACAAGAGACTCTATTTCCGATTTTGAGCTAGAGAGAATGGATCAGTGGTGRGAGGTTTGCTTTTAATTTATTTGTTTCTCTCTCTACCTATTTTTTTATTCAATGGAGAATATTCAGGCAYCTGTCTCATTTGGATTATTTTTTTTTCCRTAATAGTAATATTTTCTCAGGCTCTTTAAGTCTAATTAACATAAATCTCTTCCCTGAATTTTCTCTCCAGTGGGTGAGAGAAAAATGTGCAAATCCCTTTGGTACTGCTGCTGCCAAGAGAGACTTGATAGAAGTATCTAATCAACAGACATATAGATTAAAATACATCTTTAAGAATTTATGCATTTTGGCTAAATGTTTTACTGTACTACACACTGCAATCAGAGGTATGGCTAAAGACCTGTAATCTTACAACCTGACTTTAAAGGAATACTAATGCTGTTTTAAAAAAGGGAAAATATCAGTCAAATTTATCTYAATTCTCTAAGGTAAATTTTAAATCAATGGTCATTATGTTGTAGTAAGAGGAGGTTAATCTCAGGTCACCTATCATAGGCATTTACATCACAGAAGTTATAAACATCATAGGAGTTATAAACAACTAAGATTATTTTAAACTTGTCTGAGTGACCTCCCTGCATTCACTACAACAGTGAGAGTTTCTACAAGCTTGGGAATTGCCCAAACCTGATTTGTGACTCCACAGATGCAACAACTTGTCCAACTGAGAATTGTTGTTACCCTGTTRAAGCCTGTTTTAATACTGATATGAGAAAACAGTTCTGGGTTTAAGTCTGTTGTTGTCTGTGTGTTGTTTGAGTTTTTTTCTTTCTTTTTCTCAAGTTACTGGTTAATGTGACTGATCTTTTACTTCAATGTAGTGATAGTACATTTCCTGCACAAACACTCTGTATGAAAGGGAATGAGGCCACTCTTCTGCACTCCCCCAATTTTTATAGCTTTCATCTGCTACATGTACGTTGATAGATCGTGCCTTCGATTTTTTGTTAGGTTTTTTTTTTTTTCAGAGACACTTGACTGTGAATCTGCCTAAACAATGTGAGTCCAAAGTAATTTTGTGTTTCAAGTAGCCTTGCAAAAGGAGCTTATATAATATTATGTATGTGCCAATAGTAATTTGAGATCTTAAAATATGATCTAAGCCAATAGGCTCCACTACTTAATCTGTTACATTTTCAGACCAGAGCATAAATTTGATTTTATAAATGGTTTCCCCTTCTACTCTGCATAGGTTTTGAGATTAGAGATTCTGATTCTGTTGATTTATATTGTTCTGAATCACAGGCTGATCTTCTAGTTCTCTCTCTGGTCATGTTCTCCTGTACAAAACACAAGCGTTCTTTTGTGGCACACTATGAAACACTTCTTGGAGTTTTAGTTTAATGAAAATCTTCATTGCTTTGGAAGCAGAAAGAAATGTAATTTACTAATTTCTTTAAGATTGATCATATGATCAGTCTTTAAGATTGATTCTGCATGCTGCAGTGGGTTGTTAATATTTTCTCCTATGAAAACT